ATATAAAAACCTAGCGCTTGTCTTTACTGATATCTGTGGCCTATTAGCTTTGTGGTCCTAATGAGGCCAAGGTTATAAGGTCAAACTCCACATGTACCAATTAGGTTCAAAGAGACTAGCTTTTCCACAGATGGTGACTGAACTCCTAACTTTGACCAACAGTCATACAAATGTATAGCTATGAGTCTGAGGGGTGCCAGGCAAAAGAATATAAGAGGTGCGGCTCAAGTCCAGCTCAGTCTGAGACAATATTGCTGGTGGATGAGTGAATCTTTGGATTCTCCAAATTGTATGCTCTCTTCTTTAATTGGAAAGGCAGTACCCACAGGCTGGGGAAAGGTGTTTGGTGGCATTTCGAAGCCTATGGGTTCCTATGTGTCTCCTGTAATTCTTATGTGTCTCCCATCTCACCTAAAAATGAACCTACCCATTTGTTCTCACGGCCAACAAGGTCAGTGAAAACCATCGGCTCATCCTCCCCAGCAAAGAAACAGGGCTGTGTGTTTTCCTGAGCTGTGTGCTCCTTGGGTAAATGGCCTGAGAGTGTTTGGTCGTGTCTGAGTTTCAGTCCTACCCTTAAAGAGCTGGAGTCCAATTTGAACAAAACAAGAAAGCTGGCTTCTCTTTCATCAAGTGGGTAGACTCCTCTATCTTTGGAGATCAGTAGAAACTATATAAAGGAGAGAAAGGTGGTCGAGTGTTCCTGGGCCACTACTTACACCCAAGGGTCTCCTCTCTTGACTAGCACCAAATCTTTGCTAATTACAACCTAGACTATGGGTCTGTTAAAGTTAGGTCATTTACTTTAACAAAATCCCCTTGTTTAATAGACAAGGACATTTCAGCCTAGAAACTTTAAATGTCTGCCAAAGTCAGGCAACTAATGAATGACAGGTCTGGAAGCAGTTTTCCGAGGACTATATATCCAAAGCAACAAGGCTGAGTTCATAATAATAACCTAAATCTAGGAGGTTTATGCAATCAATAACAATGAAAGTTAATTGCAAAGTTTCACTTAAACTCTTTAAAAACAGTATGCTTTAACACACCAAGAATGTCATTCATTTATTGAGACCTGTTCTTAATAACTATGCATTGGGAATATGTTTCACAAAAGCCATAAATCTGAAATGGCCGAAAGGGTATCCAACTTTCTTTTCTAATTGATTTACTTCTTCTCCTCCCAGACGGCTGGAGGTAAAACATATACAGTTTATTTAAGGGACTGTTTATAGACTCTTAAAACTAAAAAGGACCTCAGGAACTCCCTCTGTCTCTCTCTCTCTCCCTCTCTCTTTTTGGTTGTGCTTAATTGAAACCATCCAAAATGGTTGGTTGTCCATCAATTTTTAAGATATCTCTAAGGACAAGAATTCCACAAGCTCTTAAATACCATGTGAAAATGGTTAATCACCACGGCTGTCAAAAATGATGTCTATGGCAAGTGTGAGCTCTCCCATTTCATTTTACTGTTGCTGTGTTTCATGAGATCATAGTGAGCCGCCCTGTACCTGGGCTGTATCAGCCTGGTAGGATAATAGCTAGCTGCTTTCTCCTCCATTACCCCAACATTGTCTTCCCAGGATATGGGAGCAGAAGGCAGATTGATAGGCTCTCTTCCTATGGTGCAGACGGAAGAATCAGTAATTAGCTCCTCATCGGATCTTTCATTTCATAAAATGTCTGGGGAAGCTACGTTAATTATAGATGAACTCTTCCTTATATGCTGGCAAGATGTTCACAGTGCAGATAGTTTGGAAGGTTGTTTCTACTGCACCAGTGAAACTTGGGCTTGACGGGAAATATGAGCTTATTCATAACTTTGGGCCAGTCCATGCAAAATAAGCCTTACTAAAACTTTTAATTCAGACCCATTCCAATAGAATTATGAAAACTCTCCTGGTTAAACATTCTGCACTGGCAAAAAGAATACGTGACAAAGACGATTTTCTTTTAAATGTTTAAAGTTCAAACTAAGACCAGAAACTGCCTTCTGCTATGAAGAAACATCCAGGCTTCCACAACTGAGTTGAAGCAGCTAAAAATAAAAGGTACAGTCGCAATAAAACTTTAAAAATAAAAGCAAGAAACAATAAATAATAAGTGTCAACTGACAGATCATAGGGGTGGGAAGAACGCTTCCCTCAAAGAGGATTTCAAAGACCGTAAATGCTTAGAGCTGCTGCCTTCTCCACACACAGTAAATCTCAGGGGATGTAAAGGAAACTCAATAAAATTTGTTGACAACAGCTAATATCTGTGAGAATAATTGGCTCCGACACAAAACAGACCATCAGCGTAGCGCTGGGATGACCCGTGCACAGCCTCCAGGTCATTTTTAGTAGACGTACGTTGTGCTCAGCGGAAAAGTAGTTTTATCAAACAACTGGGTAAACATGATATGACAATTTGAACTACTTGACAACCCAATGCTTGATGGTTCTTAAGGCTAAGAGCTCAAATAAGCAATCCCGTTAGATTCAACTGGATTCCATCCTGTCAGTCCAATAATCAATTACTATATCAGCCAGGCACTGAACTAGACACTGGGCACTGAAGGTAAATGGGTATGGCATTTGGCATCCAGGGGCACTCTGACATGTGTTACTCAAGGGGAGAGAGGGCAAAAGTGGGACAAAACATCAGGAAAAGTATCAGATGTTTAATCTACCCTCCCAAGGATATTTTCCTCTTATGACACTTGACAATACTTATGTGCACTTTTTTTGCCTCTTCAAAACATGTGAGTCCCTTGAAGTCATGGTCAATCACTTATTCATTTCAAGGCACCTCATCCATGCCTAGTAAAGCAGCGTACACCACTAAAGTGTTGTACACACAGCACATACCTCATTGGTGTTTTGAAGTAAAGTAAAACAAGTTAAACGGACTAACATTTCAAGGCAAAGGTGATTGCCCAGTGGCCAGAACGCTAGCTAACAAGAATATGTTTTTTGTGTTGAATACCATGCCAGACAGAGATTAACCACGGGGTTCTGCAAGGCAGAATGTATGAGATACACATTCTCAATGACAGTATTGACAATAACACGTAATTTAAGAAACCACTTCCTCTCCCAAGCCACTCCAAGCATCGAGTTGCTAGATATAATTTCCCTCTCAAATGATGAAAACATAATTTTAAAACATTTCCTAAACTTTGATCATTGTAGTGACAGGATGAAAGGACTATTTTAGTGACTTGCAGTTGTTTCCCATTGTACTCAGGCCACTCCTAAATGTCTGTGGGAACCTAGTAAGTGTCATACAGTAGTTAGCCCAAATCATTCTTTCCATTCTTATTTTTCACCATTTAATATAAATGTTGCAGGCATAGAGGGCTCCATTTTCCACGGTCTGTACCTAGAAATCCTGGACCATGTCATGTGGAACATCACAATCTAACTGACACAGAACAGAGTCCTTGTAGGCTGGGCAATTCCCTAGGGAACTGGATGAAGCGAATTGCACAAAAGAGGCAAAGGAAAAAGCCCTTGTGGATATAAAAAGTGAGAATAATGTATTCATTTTTCAAAAACATATGGGTTGGTAGCAGCAAATTATAGAATAAGAACAGCTACTGTCAGGGTCATGGTGATGTCCCATGTTCACTTTTTATGGGATTTGCAAAGGGAAACCAAAACTGCCACTGGAAGCGCTGCACTCATGAACTCCTTCAACCACCCTGCAAGAGAGAACTGCAGGGAACTGCTTATTGCAGAAAAATACATGCACTCATTCAATGGAACCGCAGGCCAGAAGGACAGAGTGGGAATCTGCCCATTCAAACAGTAGAAAGTACTTGTGGTTCTCTGTCACTTGTCATTTTTTTTTTTTTTTTTTTTTGCCAAATCCATGGTAAGCACAGATCTCAGTCTTCTTACAAGCTTCCTCCTTCCCATCTTTTCTGCTCATCTCCAGACTGGCGGAACCCCCTACTCGAGTCTTACAACAACACACACACACTCCCTCCCTCCCTCCCTCTCTCTCTCTACATGCCTAGAGAGAGGCGAACATTTGGGAAGGAGATGAGAGCAGCTTCAAGTGTGTGAGTCATCACAGGCGCTGTTCAGGGCTTAGTAGGTAACTGAGGGAAGCTGTCTGCACTTGAGTGATGTGACCCTTGGAGCATGATTCATGCTCTGATTCCTGGAGCCCTCTGAGATTCCAAACAATTATATGCAGAGAGCATCTGGCTTTGACTCTCTCACTGTCCTGTGGCACACAGGGGTCATTTCCCTCAGGTACTACCGGCTTGTTTGCATTTCTTCTTTGCAGTTGTTGCCATACACAGCTGTCTACTGCTGTTGACTGTTGAGTTTCTAATTGTCTGGGACCAATTTATGAGACAAGTGACTCTGCACTTGTCAGACACCTCTCCAGATGGAGACCCCATGGGAAAGTCCCACAGAAGAGCTCTCAGAGCAAAGCCAGGACAAGAGCCGAGGCCAGTCTGCACAGAGGGCATATTAGCAATGACAGTGCAGGCTGGGTTTAGAGAAGGCTGTTCATTTATTTGCAAATCTGTCTTGGAGCAAAGGCAACCTCCTATCTGTTCCTGGTGACTTCATACTGCATGGAAGCATCTAGAATGTGCCCCTTAATTCTTTCCTCAAGTCTCACGAGTACAGAGTCCTTGCTATTCACATCTGCACTATGAGAACCTTCCTATGCAGCTTCATAGGTCTATACACATGCTCAGAGGTCTGGAAAACAAAATCCTCCATGTACCAAGTCATTTTGTCCTGCCCTTTCATTGACGGGAGTAGAAGAGTGAGAGTAGACCTTCATACTGGGTGGAAGGCTCCACAGGACGTAAAGAAAATCGAAGGAAGGAAATTCCACCCTAAATCTGTAAAACCTGCTGAAGCTCAGGTGCAGCATGATACTGACTCAAAGATGAGGGGTCTTGGAGTCTGAGGACGGCTCCTGTGACTGTAACTCCACAGAACCACACACTCCGGACCCCAGGCCACACGAAGAGAAGGAGGGCTACTTACTGAAATAAAAGCCCCTGTCTCCACACACGAACTGAAGGGCGTCGACCAGTTCAGCCCCGCAGAGTGTCTCTGGTCCCGCTGTGGCCGAGCTGGTGAAGGCGAGCAAGCAGAGGACCAGGTAGAAGAGGTGCGAAGAGGACACAGCGTGCATCTTTCCCTGCAGAAGAAGCAGACAAGGGTCAGCTTGGCTCCCTGGTCCCTGTGTGCTCAGGACACCCCTTAACCCCTGGGGGCTGTGTCTCCTCAGCTTGAGCTGGCACAGAGGGGAAGTAGCATGCGTGGCCCGACAGGGCACACCTTGCGAAGAGACAACTGTGCTTGCCCACCTCAGTACCAGACCCACGGCCAAGTCCCCCCACCCACTTTTGCTTCTGGGTTCCTATTGCAGCTGAGTGAGGGCCCAGCAAGCACCACGTGAATGAAAGATGCCAGCAGGATGGTGGGATTTCCCACCACTCTGAGATCCTGGCAAAACTTTTGAATGATCAAAGGGTAAATTGTGTCCAGTACGTATTTGCAGCCAAGTGTGTTTTGTTAATTTAAGTGCTTTAAAAACTGGCCATCCACAGGTAGCATATGTATTCATTATTGACCATGATATTAAATTAAGCAGAACAGCATTCCTTGGCTGCTGATTAAGAAGAATGTATTGTGGTCAGAAAAGGATTTGTAAAAATAGTACATATCATTACAGATTTTTTTTTTTGAGAGAGAGAGTTTTCCTATCTATGTGATAGCAGTTATCACAACCTCAAGTAGAAAAACAAACAGGAAAAAGATGAGGATTTAGAGAGGAACTGGCTCGTGCTTCAGGAGGAGGTACGGAAAGGTGTGACACCACCCCCCACCCATCCTAAGGCTATGACCGAGCCTCTCTAACCCAGAGCAGGTTAACAAGAGAAAGGCATAGTGGATTTATCTCATCCAAGTTTTGTAGGACAGGAGAGGCTTCAGAAAGGAAGCTGTTGAACCCAGGGAACACTCCCTACCTTTCATGCTATGCTCCAGTGACGCACAGACAGCCAGGTAGAAATAGGATCAGCCAGAAGTAGTATAAACTAGTGCTGGGAGACTGACCCTGGAGCTGGTGGGTTTGGCCACTCTGGTCCCCTTTGGCCTTCTGTGTAGCATCCTGTGTCCTAGGTACAGGACTGGACCCCTCTGAAGCAAGGTCCGTTAGGACCTACGACTATCCGGGTCATAGAACTTCTTTATGGCTAGCTCTTCCACAGAAAGGCAGGGGCAGGTCAGAGTCCTATTTCTAGGTTTTTATGGCTAGCTTTGACATCGAGCACTTCTAGTTTCTATGACCTGCCTTGGGGGAGAATGCGGAGGAGAAAGGAGGGCAGGAGAAGGTCAGAGAGAGACCTTGCTCTGGAGGTCTTCCGGTTCCCCTTAGCTCACAGTAGTCAGTAAGCCAAAGAGCTGTCTGGTAGGACGTGGTTTTCTGAGCCCCTACACTAAATAAATGCCACTCTGTCTGCCTTCTAAAGCCCTTTCCTTCGGGGCCAAGAGAAAATCAACACGTGTGGAGAGACTCTCCCACATGCAGGTCACTGGGCTTAAAACCTACCGAGTTGTTTCTTTTTCCTTTTTTTTTTTTTTGTCACAGGAATTCTGACTTCATCTGTTGGAGGGATTTATGTGTCACTGTATCCATTTTATAGCAAAAGCTACCCAGGGACCCCTGGTTGGCACGACTTAGTCAGGAATCCCCAGCCAAGTGGCAGCCCTGCCAAAAGCAGGATTCCTGTGTCTCAAGTCTCCGCCCTCCCCCTAAGAAGTAGGAAAGTGCTAAGGTGACCACTACATTAAGTTTTTCCATATTGCTACTTGTGCCACCAAGATGTGGTTTCTTCCGGGAAGGGTCCCAGGGTGAGTAGCTTCACCTCTCGTAGATGTGTCTACACTCGTCAAGGGAACAAGCCGCTGACAGGATGTTAGGTGAGGGGCCCTATTTTAAGGTCACTGGGTGAGGCTGGAAGCTATAATTTTACAGAGAGGCTGCTTTTGAACCTTGCAGTAGGGGCAGATCCCTTCAACCTCATCGCTTGTGGAAAAGCAGACCCAGGCATTTATTGTCTGACCACCCTCCTTGTCTACCATGAACTCTCGGCTAATCAACTCGGTCATCAGTGGCAAAATCTGTGCCATCATTTTAATTAAAATTTCCATTTTTGTGGCCAGAACTTCACCCCAGCAATTGAGGGGAAACCCCTAAACCCCTGATTCTTGTTAACACAAAGTAAATATTTAGTTAATACTTGTAACAGGGCTGAAGATAAAAAGCACCCTCTACTTGCAAATCATCATAAACGAGGGACATAAAATAGAGGAGGAAGCAAAGGCCGAGTGAGCATTTGTTCCATTTTCTCCAGAAGATTTTCACATGGAAACGCTGCACCCCGACGAAGCCAAAGCCACTGAGACTGTGAACAGCAAATTATCACCGAGTCTTCACTTTTGTTAGATATAAAGAAGGGAGTGAGGGTTTTACCCTCCAAATTTCCACTGGAAGCCTCAACAAATTGAACCCAACTGGTTTTCATGGCCCTGAGCAAAAGCACAAACTGAGAACTGGTCTTCAGAACAAATGCTCACACTCTGGCAACGGGCCAGTTCTAGAACGTATTTGACTTTACTACACCCATCTCTCCATCTCTTCCTCCTTTGTGGCGTTTCTGATGACACCGAAAGCCAAGCACCTGCCTGGCACATGCCTTCAAATCTTCAGTTTTTATGAAATCCAGGGGAACAGTTACCCAACCTACAACTTCAGCGCGTTTAGAACTTCCGTAGACATCAGAACTACATTTTTAGTAGTTACCTTTGGAATAACACATTGAAGTCCAAGAACGTATATATAAATCTTTTCTAACATTTCAAACACTTAAGATATTTAACTAGATTTTCTTTGTTCTTTCTTTCTCCGCCGAGTTATATTGTCAGATAAATATCAGCACTTACAGTTCTAGGACAAGATAGAACCTCTAGCGCATTTCCCTTTCGCTCAGAGAACAGTCCAGCACACCCACAGAGCAGGAGAGAATTTATCACATTATGTTCCCCCAGCAGAAACAACAACGAACTTGCTTAGGAGCTAAAAGTTTGAAGCAAGTGGCCCCATATGTTCATGATTTCCTTGGCCTTTTATTTTGCCAACCACATGAGAAACGAGGAGAGAGAAAAGAAAGATAATGACAGAGAGGAAAGAAGGAAGAACCGGGCAGAGAACAGCAAAAGAAAAAAAGGAGAAAATACAGAACACTCTTCCTCAGACATCATTCACAAATCCGCATTTTCCAAAGGCTTCTCTTTCTATCTGAAATAAATGGAATATCAATTGATTCCAGATGTCTGGGCTGTGAGGAACACAGCCCAGTGAAATGCGAGGGCAGGAGTCATAAGAAAATACTCACTGTAGGTGCACTCTTTTTTGTTTGTTCCAGGTCTTTTACAGCAGGTCAGGGTGGGTGTTATGAGGCTGATGTGAATAGAAAACTGAAGACTTAAAAACATGTGCCGCGTGGTGGGTGGGGTTAGAGGAAGCATCTAGTTACATTTGGTCACCGAGGCAGGTATGCTGAGAGTCTGAGTAAACTGCCTTTTGTCCGTTCAAATGATGAACAAATTGCACAGCTGGGATCTGAATCCACCCCCTCCCCATCCAGCTCCCCAGCTCCCACTGTGAGCCTACGGTAGCTGTCCACCAGGGTGGCCCGAGCCCCGGCTCACGCCTGGATTCCCGTCCCGGCTCCAACACTGGCCAGTACCTGGGGACTCAGACTGCTGCAGTCAGACTGTAGGCTCTGACTCAGACCAGGACACCTTTACGCACTGAGTTACAGCTGCAAGTCCACACTGCTGCTTCCAGCCGCTGCCCTCTGTGAGTACAGGGAAAAGTTAACCACGCGTTGCTAGCTCAGCACACACAGCAGGAAAAGTTCATTTGGAGACAATTTTCCAAACTCGTAAGCAATGCGGAGATAACATTCCACAGCCTCTTTGATGATCATCTGAGCAGGGAGACAACCCCAGCTGCCGGACCACACAGCGGAGCTGCACACTGGCTTTACTTCTGTCAGAGCACGGTGGCCGGGGGAGCCGGCGTCTCAAGGACAGCAGAATCAGGTGCCTGACACGGGCACGTCCTGAGCTCCCGAGCCACCTACTTGACCAAGACAAACCCTGGCGGTGAAGTATTAAAAGCAGCAAACGAACGCTGTCCTGAGAGCGGCCGGGGACCTTTCCTGAATTGAGCCCTCCCGCAATCGCCTCCGGAGCCAGGGACAGCGGCTTAAAAGTGCTTGCAAATTGAAAAAAAAGAAAAACAAAAGCCTTGAAGGATATAATTTTGCTGAGAATGGAAACTTGAACCGGGGCCAGGGATCAGAAACGAGAAATCAGTGCACCGAGAGCGGCCGCCAGATTTACCTAAAGACTTGACAACACCGAGTATAAAATCAGCAGAGCTTTAGACACGAAACCCCAAGTCCGAATTTTGCCCAGGAAAGTCTTCTCCAAAAGAAAAAATTTGGACAAGCAGCCCCTAGAAAGTTTCTGCCTTTCACATACAGTATGCATTTGTTTAAATCTCATGCACACGCACGGTCAGCAAGAATTGTCAAGGAGCTCTTTTGCTTTTCGGAAGAGCAAATCAAACTTCACTCTAACTTTGACTTTCTGGGCATAAGTGCAGAGAGTTCCCGGTCCTTAGCTCCAAAGATCATATTTAAAAGCTTTACTATCCTCTACAATGCAACTGTTTGCCTGTGGCATGCCTTGTAAATAAAATTCTGGCAAATCACACACACACACACACACACACACACACACACACACACACATTCACATACACACAGGAGCAAGGTCTTACAAAGAAAACATCCGCACCTGCAAAAGAGAAAAAATCTCAAAGTTCGTATCCCTGCTTGGTAACCCTCATCCACAGGCAGGATTTAAAGGAATCTTCCACAGTGACAACACCGGAACCCTGCAGAAGTGTGGAGGATTTAGCATAAGTACCTTACAATAGTTTCTACTCCTACAGCTATCTCTGCAAATGCATCCATTTCCCGGAGCTATTTTGTCAGATCCCACAGAACTGCACGTTCAGCAATCTAGAAATAAACTCCTAGTTCCGAAACAATGAAAATTCTCAAGTGAATAACAGTTCTAAGGCAGAAGCACACAGTACCCAATGTACACAAAATTCCCCAATGACTTCAAAGAGTAAGAAATATTACCTTCAAGAAATCACAAAAGCAGCACTTAAATAATTGAGTTGGAAGACTGCTGATTTTTCCCATTGCTTCTGAAGTAAAAAGTCTGAAAATGAATTGGTTAGCAGCAATAATGAGGCAAAAAGAAATCCAGAGAGATGGGAGATGTTGAGGGCAATGTCACATTTCAATTTTGAGGACTTTATGCCATTGCGCAGGCTCTATCTGCTCTGAATTTAGCAGTGACAGTGAGATTTAGCAAACAGAAGAGGGATTTAGAGAAAATCCTCACATTTATCTACAAAACACAGACACTGTAGACAGGAAACAGCTGGGGGAACATTTGCCTTCTCTCTCTCTCCCTCTTCTGGCAAAGTTATCGAGTAAGGACTTTTTTGGGCTTGGTGACAAATAACATCATACCTTTGCATTTTAAAACTGGAGCACAGAAGCATTTTTTTTTTCCCCTTAAAAGAATGTGTGTTAGTGACAGGGTTAGCGGACATTAAAATGCTTCTGCTGCCATAGGAAATAAGGATGTTTGCTGATTAACTTTCTACCAGGCAGGAAGACACACGTCTGCTTGTACACCTTACCAGAATTAAAGGAACGGGGACAGGGGTTAGGGGAGCAATTTTATATTTTAGAAGCAATGCAATTTTTTTTTTTAAAGGAGAAAGGATAAAAAGCGCATTCCCAGTGAATCCTACAGTTTTAACCCCAAAGTGACCGGGGTGGATTAGGTCGGAAGACAGCACATGTGGGTGACCCCTTGTCCTACTTGCCAAGCCAGGGGAGTGAGCTCATTTCCTAAAACCTACAGACGGGGGAGGCGACGCTGTGTTGGCTCACTTTAGGACACCATCTCCTGCTTTTTGCCAGGAATGAGGCAAAGGATATGCTGAGCTGTAAAACAAACTGAAAAATGTGATCTTTTTCTTCACTCATCCGCTATGCAGCTTGTCACTTCTCCATCTCAAGGAAAGAGTCCCCGAGGGGCAGGGAGCAGTCTCTTCTCCCGTTGCCCGGATTTTTTTTTTTTTTTTGCATAACTTGAACCTGTGTGCTTGTGTGTGTGTGTGTGTGTGTGTGTGTGCATGTGCGTGTGTGTATGTTTTCTTTCTTCAATTTTGTTTTTGTATTCTAAATAACACCAGCTGGCTAGCAGTACCCTCTCAGGGGTTATGATGTCATGCAAATCCCCGAGCTGGGTGAGTGGCCGGCAGCATGGTCCAAGCCAGCTGTTCTGCTATTTATAATGTATATCTGCCTTTGCCACGGCGAGTGGGGTCCTGATCTTTCGTTGATACTCTTTTTACTTATTTTTCTCTGGTTTGGGGAGGCAGGAGATAAGAAAGTGGGCTAGGAAATAGGGTTGCAAAAGCCCAGGTCAAACCTAGGACTTCCCCAGACATCTCCCCGGGGGTGGCTTCCCAGGGATGGTGGCACAGCGGGACCTCGCCTCAGGACTCGAGTAGGGTTCCCAGGGGACTAGATGATACTGATTCGTCCACTGAAAACCAAGGTCTGCAGGAAACCCTTGTCTGGCTTTTTATGTTGTCTTGTAGCCAGCAATGTGTTTGTAAAGGTGGAGGCCCTCGAAGGAAGAGATGTTTGGTTTTGAAAGAGGTTGGTTTTGACCAAATCTTCCGTGTGGTGAAGAGATCATTAGCAATGTTGATCTTTCAGAAATAAATAGAAATCCAAAGTTGTGCCGGGCAGGAATATTCAGCGTCATTCTATGAGCTCCTACTATGTGCCAGACTACACACAGCATTAGAAAAACACGGTGTAGTAAAACAGATGCAGAGACAGCCAGGTAAACGTCACCATCGCATGGTGGGTTCGTGCTCTTTAAAAATACGTTTAGGGAGGTGTGGGAAGGAGCAATAATGTCTCTGACAAGGCGAGGGAAGGGAAGCCTTTTTGAAAATCTAGGAGAGGCTTTGGGGACCAAGGTTGGACAGTTTCGGCGGCAAGGATCTGACCCAAAGACACAAAGATCCATCACCAGGAGTTGGCCCGGCGGCCATCAGCAGGTATGTGGGGATGCCTGGATTTAAAAGTAATCCAAGGCATCCTTTGGAGAGCGCTCCTCCTGCATTTGATTTATGACTTGATTTACCAGAAATCTTCCCCCACCCCCTCCAGCTTTTGCGGGGTTATGCCCTTTATGAGAAAGCAACGTCCAGCCTGCACTTACAGGCTTGGATGATGTATTATACGGAACCAGAGACCTGATCTCACCCACAGCTCCCCCAGGTGAGGAAGAGGCTGGATTCCCCAGCAAGGGGAGTCGGGCACGGCTAGGGTCTGGGGATGAGTCCCCTGCTCGGTCGCCAAGTCACCAAACAACTTCCCAGGTGAGCGGGCACCTTGCCCCTCCCCTTTCATTGCTCTTAGCATTCGTGACTGTCCTGAGGTGTCCTGGAAGCTCGCTACTCTTCTCCGAGTCTGTGAGCCCCGGATGGCTTTGGCATGCCCTGGGGACTGATTACCGTCTCCTCATCGTTCCACCTGAAAGGCCACTTTGGGGACAGAACACAGATTCCACCAGACACTGCCCTCCCGCGATATCGGCACACCAACGCTCTTGGTTTTATAACCCCAATTACCCTTAAAGGATAATTGAGTTTTAATTTATGTCCTAGTTCTTGTGTCACAATCAAAGAAAACTGAAATTTCAGTGGGTCCTAATTGCCATCAGCTGTGCGGTGGAACCGTTCTGATGTGAGTTCCCGCTTTCCAGCGGGGGAAGCAATTTCCTGAAGTGATTAACGTATATTTCAGCGCGGAGAACGGTCCGTATTGCTGCAGAGGGGAGCCAGCCACAGAACAGGGCAATAATTCCTGGAGAAATATCCATTTTCTTTGCAAATTGCAGGAGTAAGAGGGAAAGGAAAGGGCAATAAATGGCCACATTGTTACTTTTTAATGACCGTACGCTGTACCTGTTTAGGAGAGAAGGAAAGGAAGGCACCCATTACTGGAGTCCAGGGGCGCAGTAAATCTATTGCCCAGGAAAAGCGCAGGTCAGGAAGTCCCATCGGAGAGAAATATTCAGGGTCATTCTAAAGTGACTGAATGATTATGTAGTCTCCTCTCTGGAAGAAATCTGACAGTTACAGAGAGGAACTGCGCGTCACCAGAATAGCTGCCTGCACGGATGGGCTCGTCAGGAGCACAGCCACCGGAGGCTGGGTTTCGCGGTCTCACCTTTAGCATGCGTAACACCTGTGCGGTATAAATAACCCTCCCCTCCACCTTCTACTTGAGTAGCATGTTTGCATAAAGCTGCAGGTTCAGAAGGCTTCTGACACCTTTCTTTGAAAAACAAAATGGAAAAAGAGCAGGCTGGTCCAGGTATCGAGGCCCAGGGGCCCCTTCTTTTGTTCAGGTCTCCCTTTTGTTTCTCGGAGAAGAGCTCTCCCTGAATGCTACTTCATGTCCCTGTGCGAGAGGGTGTGGCTGCGATTTACCTCCCTACTGTCTTTGCTGACCTCCTTGGAAAGTTCGGAATGGAGATGAGAAGTAGAGCCCTTGGAATCAAAGGGTGTGACCCAAGGCTCCAGTAGTCCCCAGGCATAGAGCTTGCGGACACTCTTGGGAGTCGGTCCTGGGTTTGGACTGAGCGAGGGCTGATCTGCAGTGGATTCCCCAGTGTTGGAGGCAGGCAGCTCGAGGATGTCGGAAGGAAAGGTTGCACCTCCCCCTACTCAACATGCTCAGAGTGAGAGGACCGATGTCACCTCCAAGTGTCATCCCAGGAGGACACTGTGACTCCCCAGAAAGCCTTTCTCCAGCTCGCCAGGACCCCTCTTCTAACGGTGTGGGAGAGCACTTTGGCCCAGCTGAGGGGGAAGTGGGAGCAGAGCAGAGACCTCCTCTCACTAAAGAAATCAATGCTTTCTTTTCAACATCAAACTTGGATCTTATTTCTTCCCAAATGTCAAAAGGACAAATGCTGGAAACAGAAACGAAATTGTTGTGGCTTTAAGAGCGAAAGAATCCTTCGGGATGGCAGAGGAGGAGTCACTGCATGGGGCAAGGGTGGGTGGGCAGAGCGAGGACCACCGACAGCCAGGAGCAGCGCCCGCCGGCTCCGCTCCCGGGGAAAGAGAGCAATGTGCGCACCCTCTAGTGGTCCTCGAGG